AAAACTAGCCCCTCACATCAAAACTTACCTGCCCTGCTTCTCTTTCATGTAAGTCAACTCTCCTTGCTAGATGACCACCAGCCTGCATCATAAAAGCTGTTAATGTGGTGTCCTGGTGTGGTGTTGCGGGTTAATGTGCTGGACTGCATGGTTGGTTTGAACCTCAAGGTCGGCGGTTCAAACTCAAAAACCCTATGCAACATTGCTGTGAGTCAGAACCGACTCAACAGCACTTAACAACAACAACAAAATACTGGAGTCTTGGTGTGGCACTGTTGGTTAATGAGCTGGACTGCAAATCCAGTTTGAACCACAAGGTCGGCTGTTCTAGCTCACTAGCAGCTCCTTAGAAACCCCAGAAACCCTATACAGAGTCATTAGGGGTTGGAACTGACTCCACAGCACTTAACAACAAACAAATTACTACTTGTTTTGTCCTTCTTTTAAAAGAAGCAGATATATTTGGTATTGTTTTAAGTCAAAGAGATGATACTACAATGTATTTTTTTTTTTAGCAAATAAGCCTTCAGCCCTCTTCATTGCACACACCTGAATACCACCAGGGAGGCAAATGTTTTGCAGGAGATCCATTTTATTTTTTTAAGTGAGAGAAAGGGTATTATTGGAATAGGGGGAGGATTCTGAAACTTCAAAGACAACTTTACAATTCCTTTCTCACTTTGGCCCGGTCTAACGAATCAGGCTGTGAACCGCAAGGTCAGCAGTTCAAAACTACCAGCTGCTCCGTGGGAGAAAAATGAGGCTTTCTGCTCCCGTAAAGATTTACAGCCTCGGAAACCCTGTTCAGGGTCACTATGGGTTGGAACCGACTTGACAGTACTTAACAACAACCCTCTGTATGGAGTCCTGGGTGTGGCACTGCGGTTAATGCGCTGGACTGCCAAGTTGGCTTGAACCACAAGGTTGGCAGTTCAAGCTCACCAGCTGCTCCTTGGAAACCCTATACAGGGTCGTCATTGGGTCGGAACCAACTCGTTGGCACTTGACAACAACAACAACCCTTTGTATTTAAGGAGCTATGTAGTGTAGTGGTTATGTTATGCCCAGAATTCAGGGTCCCCAAAGACCACCCAGGAGCCGTGTACCGATGCAAATACATAAGGGTTGTTTAATCAAGCTCGAGCCAGGTCTCTAGCCTTATCCGACATTTCGGAATAGGGAAAGAGCCCCGAATTCATTGTCTGCAGGGTTTTTATAGAATTTTCAAACAGCTCAGGTTTCTCAGCTTTACAATCTTTGGATTGGTTAACAATTGGCAAACTATGAGATGTTACAGTTTAATTGGTCAGGACTGGTGGTCTTTGTTCTTAGGCTAAGGTAAAGGAAAACATCTGGCCTCTGGCCTTGAGCTGCCTGGCTATTTATACATATATCATATTCTTGGAGCTAGAGTACGTGTTCAGGCTAATGTACAGAATGGAGATTGACCTTGCCTCTGGAGGGAACTAATAACTGAGGCCTTGTCTATTTAAAATGCTTTCCTGAGCCTGACTAGAGTTTAGTCAAGCAGTTTCTAGGTAGGCAAAATCAGTTTGGTCCTTACAGTTACGAATTGGACTGCTAACCTCAAGGTCAGCAGTTCAAAACTACCATTGGTTCTGTGGGAAAGATGAGGCTTTCTGCTCCCATAAAAATTTACAGCCTCGGAAACACAATATAGGATTGCTATGGGTCAGAACCGACTCGACAGCACTTAACAACAACAAACCCTTTGTACTGGACTTCTGGTGTGGCACTGTGGATCAGCACTGGACTGTGAACCACAAGGTAGGCAGTTCAAACCCACCAACTGCTCCTTGGAAACCTATGAAGGGTCGCTATGAGTAGCATCTGACTCGACAGCACATAACAATAACAACCCTTTGTTTTGGAATCCTGGTGTGGCACTGTGGGATAATGCACTGGACCGCAAGGTTGGTTTGAGCCACAAGGATGGTGGCTTCAAATTCACCAGCTGCTCCTTGGAAATGCTATATAGGGTCGCTATGAGTCGGAAGCGACTCAACAGCACTTAATAACAACAACCCTTTATATTCTGGGGTGGGTTTTTTTTTTTTGTGTGTGTGTGTGTGTGTATGTGGTCGGCTTTGGGTCCAAGTCCAGTCCAGGATACCAACTAGGCTGATACGACCTTTCATCCTACTGTTTTCGTCATGAGATTCTAAAGGGGCTCCCTATTCTATTTACCTTTATTGACAATATTAGAATTATGTCTACTCCTCGCTTACCAACCATGTTTTTATCTGACATCTCACATTTAGACAGCTTTGGAAAAAACCTCAAGCAGCTCTGACGGTTCAGGTCTCACATAGGCCTGAGACTGAGTCCAGGGTGCCCTCCATGGACCACCTCAAATGATATCCCAGACACCCTGCTGATGACCAGGTCACACAAAGGACACCTGCTCCCTTTCTTCAGTGACATCTTTATTCAACCATGGAAAGCATGGGGAGACAGCAGGGTGACATGAGGTCACAGGTTGGCAGGAGGAGGTAGGGTGGGAGCCTTAAGGTACCAGGGGAGGTCAGTGTCGGCTGTATGGCTGGGTGGATGAAGGATGGGCAGGCTCCCCACCCAGTGAGGTGGGAGGAGGTGGACAAGTTGGGGCAGCAGGAGGTAGTGGAAAACAACAGCCAACTTTCACCATCATCCCCAACCCCCATGTGCTCCAAAGTGGTAAGGAAGGAGTTCCTACCCAGAGGAAGCCCATCCTGAAGACATGCCAGGGGTGCCCAAAGGTTGTGAATGATTGCTGATGATGGAGCACAGCCCCCCAAATCTCACATAACGACCTGATCTTTGGAGCTTAATCATGTGAATGAGTGAGGACTGGGTGTATTTGAAATCCTTCCTTATCCCATATTCAAACCCTCTGTGGTCGGGATGATTCTAACTCATAGTGCCCTTAGGGTAGTGTAGAACTGCCTTCATATGGTTTCCAAGACTGACTCTATGCAACTAGATTGCCATATCTTTCTCCCTCCCAATAGCTGATGGGTTCAAACCACAAACTTTTCAATTAGCTCTCCAATACTTAACCCACTGTACCATAAGGCTCCTCTAGTTATAATGTAGATAGAATTAAGCCACCAAGCACTGATTGGGTACTGTGCGTTTACTCTGCGAAAACAGCGGACGGAAGTACATAATCCATCTTTCCTCTGTTAATAGTTAGCCAGGTTGAGAGACTTTCAATACAAGCATATCTTGTAGCATGCAACAATGGTTTAACAGAAGAGCTAAAGCATAGTAAGTACTTACTGCTTTCAGCTTCACCACACAGTTTTGTAGCCTGGGAAGCCATGCATGTAGAATGGTTGAACTTACAATTGCCTACAAAATGCCATCGTAATGCTACCTGCAGCGCCTCCCCACCAATAGATGACAGTTCAGGCCTTAAAGATACCCCAAACTATTAGGAATAGTTTCAAAATACAACTTGTCACCGTTTGAAATAGTCATCAAAAGAATGCTTTCCCAAGCAACACTTAAGGCTAACTATTACATTTACAACCATCGATTCAGGGTGTTGTGACAAAAAGGGAGATATAGCTTGTATCTGTTTGTGGATATAGTTTGTGGAGGTCTGATTTTTTTTAATCACAGTTGAAGCCATAAAGGGTGGCCCAAGACACGATGGGAAGTCTCTCAAACACTGCATTTTGCCAAAGTGACTTCTTCCCTTTACCCATACACTACACCCCCCTCAAAAAAATCAAAATGTACTTCATGAAACTATTGTATATGAAGCACTTATTAGCCATAATTAAATGGACAATATGAATTTACTACGTCTTTAGGACTCTGGCTTGTTCTGCTTTAGAGCAAGATGATTAATGCAAATACATATTACTTGAGATAACCATTTAGCAGCTAATTTAGCCAAATTTATTACAGCAGTTAGAGGTTTTTCATTTTAGCAGACGGAGACAAGGACATGCCAAAAGTAGGCAGTGTAGATGAGTGCACACTGCCCTCTAGTGGCCATCCAGCCTGTGAGCTTCGGGGGTGCGCTGAAGTACTAACAGCAGGGTGTGAACGTTTCCTGCATCCTTTTAAGCCATTCCCTTCCAGAGCACTTTACTTGAGGAGATGATTTATACCACATTCCCCATTTACTAGATCAGGAGTACCCAGATACAAATCAAATCCAGTTCAACTTGGCAAGATTTGGGTTAAAGTATCATTTTTAACAACTGCATTTTAAAGTTCTCTTTCGGTGGGTATTTAATGGCACCGTTCCACATTACTGATTGTTTTTACTTGTTCCTTCATTTTGGGCCATATTTCAGAGTCTATGCGAAGCTGTCACTCTGGCTCAAGCCAAGTCAATTCTGTGCCCCCCTTAGGACACTTTTCTTTCTCTGTTGAGAAATTTATTTTGTTCCAGCATTCCACAAAGTCTCACCCGAATTTCCCCCTACGGACCGACGGAAATTTAGCTCGTCCTGGGACTATAAATTCTGAGACAGATTCAAAAGGAACGGATATATAAGTATGCGGGTTGATATGGCCGGCTCTGATGTAAAATAATCAAAGACAGAGGGTAACGAACGCATCTATCTTCAGAACCATCCAAATAGCCAGAATTTCAAAGAAGTCTACCTTGTAGCTATGATTAAATCACATATGAATGTGCTTTTCTTACCATTTGACGTTACACCCACTGACGGTCTCCACACCGCATTAGGTGTTCTGTGAGCCAAACAGAATTGTAGTCCTTTCACACCATTGCTGCGCAAACCGAAATAAAGTCTTGCTACTAATGGTTGTAACCCTCGCTCCAGAGCTGACGCTCTACTGAGTTGTTGATTTTATTGGTCCTACTAATGGTGTTCTGCATTAGGCATATCAAGGGGCACCTGTGGCTTGGCTATAGGCCCTCCCATCTCTTTACTTGAGGGTTTGCTGAGATGAAATTCATCTGGTCCCAATCTGAAAACACAATGTCTTTCTTTTGTTTTCTTTCCATCCCCCAGTGCTGAATAAGGGTCAGTGTGTGACGAAGTATTACCGTTGGATGCAGAAGAATGGAGGATATATTTGGATACAATCTAGTGCCACAATAGCTATTAATGCCAAGAACGCAAATGAGAAGAATATCATCTGGGTGAATTATCTACTTAGGTATACTTTCTAATCCTTTCATTTCATATTATACATTTATAAACTACACAGCCCAATGGTTCATAGTAAACATGTACTGAGTGTTGCCTGTTGACAGTATCTTGTATGGAATATATGGAATGCATGGAAAATTCCCGCTTTAAACAAACAAAAAATTTTTTTCACTTGGCACAAAAGAAATGTGAGAAGATCAAAGCTGAGTTAGAAGGGAATTCCAGGGCAGATTTGCTAACTTTTCAGTAATTCTTGATAAACATTTGGGCAGCTCTCAAGAAGGGGTTTTGGTTTCCTCACAAATGTACAGGCCTCCCCCCCACAAAAAATAAAAAGAATACAGGAATACAGACTTTTGCCTACAGCTCAAACATTCACGAATTCACTTCATTATCCTCACCACATATACACATCACCCACTCTCAGTCTTGTGAAAAGTAGACAAAAAGGCAAAGAGAAGTAGTAGCAGGCAGGGTACATTGTATTTCTCTTCATCCCCTAGCCCTTGAAGCCCTCAGCTACTACACAGGGTTTGAGTTGAGTGAGCATTAAAGCATTGGTAGACAAAGTGGAAAAAAGTTCCTTTGCCAGTATCAAGACAGCATCAGTATAAAATACAGTGGCAGTTCTCTTTTGTCTAATGCTCTATGATCTCAGGCAAGTTTTAATGCTGTTTTTATTGTATCCTCAAATTCAGATCCATAAATGAAGCTAAGTTCTAATGCTGCCTAAAGTCTGATATGAGACATTATTTCTTTCTGCTTCCCTATCTATGAGGGGACTTTAAAAAGTTCATAGGGAAAAAAAATTCTATTATCTTTTCATTCCATTTTTTCCATGAACTTTTTGAAGCCCACTCATGCTGTCTTCCTTTGAACTCAAACAAAGCAAACAGACTGTATGGTCTGAGTTTGGGGGCAAGCTTTCCAGAAAGTTCTTTACCAATCTGTCACAGTGTTCAACCTGGTTCCCTCCCACCTCTGTCATTTCAGGCCTTGAAGTCTCATGGCCTAAAGCCACCAAGCAAGGCCTGAGTCGGAAAACCAATAGGTTTTATGAATGGAAGTCGTTGCCCTTGGCTGATAATCTAGACAGGGAATACCTGAGCCCCATTTTTCTTTGAGACAGCCAAATGGAGCTGAGATGCTAACAAGCATGGCTCATCAGCACACTGGCCCTTCAGAGTGTATTCATGTACTTTGGTGATGACTTGAAGGCATGAGTGTGCTTTGCTACCAATAGCATATCAATCAGACACTAATGATTATTGTTCTAGAGAGGGCTTTAATGTGCACCACTTACAAGAGTCTTCATTTATCTATTCTTTTTCCGTTTTTGACCTCTTAACACTCTACATTAATTCTCTCTAAAGGTAAAAAAAAAAAAAAGTATGTATTTAATGTGACTTCCTCTAAGGCTTGATTCGCATGCAATGTATCCCTTGTATTTGTGATATATGCAAGATGGGTTCTGCTATCAGGGAATACTTTTACATAGCATCTTAGGAACCACCAACCATATATAATGTAGAAGGTTATAAAAACTCACATCACATATAGAAAATAGAATAAGTCATTGTGTCACTGACATTCTTTTGCTAGGCAAATATGGTAGCTGTGCCAGGTAGACCCATGGCTAACAGTGACTTCCCATGCTCACAGTGAAACCCAGAATGCTGAAGTCATCTATTTGGGTCTTAGCCAACAGCTCAAGTTTCACCTTATTTTACTATTCTGGGAGATTTCTTCTTATCTATTTACTATTGCCTCATCAGCCCTGTCACTTCTTACTCTACCCTGAAAGAAAGGGAATGAGAAAGGTTACAAAGTCAGTCCAGGCTACTTTAGATCAAAACTGCTGAGTAAATGGTACTAGCTCGTCAGTGGTTGGTGATTTTATTTCACCTATTTCCACAGAGATAGGAAGGAAGCCGTTTGGGTAACAAAAAACAGTCTTTAGACTCACTAGCCACAATCACAGATGTGGAAGATCTGTCCCAGCTGACCTAAAGAGTCACACAAGTCAATGACATAAGACTGTAATATGGCTGATAAGTGACCAGTGTCTTCACACCCACCCATGGCATCTGGACCAATCAGAGATTTACTAGAGGAAATGCCAACCCTGCCACTCATTGGCCATCACTTTTATAGACTAGAAACATTTATTTTTCTTGCTCATATTCTTGTCCTTTGTTCTTCCCTGAGCAGAACTCTCATGTTCCATTTCCTTCTGAGAATTCCTCATGTCTGGGCTCCTATTCTATAATGTCTGCGCCTTCAGTCTCCTTTGCATTTCCTAGCAGTGTTTGATAGTGTTAAAGACACTCCCAGTATTTGAAGGTTATAGAAGTACTAATCCCACCTTCCCACCATTAGTCTCCTGATTATCTAGAGAACTTTGCTGCTGAAGATAATTTCCAGTAAGGAGTGAATGCCTGACAATCCATTTTAGTGATTAACCCTTCCAAAGACATTTGTAATTGTGGAGTCTAAAACAATGACATTCTAATATAGAAATTTCATGGAGATTAGCAAATAAATCAGTAATCAACTATTGTAAATCTCTGCTTGGCTGACCATCATGGAAGGATGGAAGGGACATTTTCAATTGTGAGGCAAAGAGTTTTCCTTGGGCTTTCAGGTTATATCAAATAGAGACCAGATCACTACCCTCATACATTGGGCTGTTCTTGCAGTGGCATTTCCAGATTGTTAAATTTACCAAACTTCTTCTCTTTGCCAGAAGACACTGGTTTCTGAATTTAAAATGGGAAAAAAAATTCAGCACACTTGTGCAAATGGGGTTAGCTCCATTCAGTTAGGGCCTCTTCTCTTTCACACTGGGACTCTCCCCACTGCAATCAGTTTCCCAGCTAACAAGCCACAGGTGTACACCACATGAGCAGATGAAAATATGATTGTAATGGGTGTGTTGACAGTTCAGTAGCCATAATACATGCATCCCAAAGTGCACCTGTGCATCTGTCATATAGTTAGACACTTAGGACTGTGGGTCTCCCTCCCCCAGTAGATTTACAGCCAGTTGAACAGCTGAGAAACAACATCAAGAAGACAAGATAGGGATAGTGGGGCAATGGACTCATTAGGAGCCCAAGAGAAGACAGGGATCCCCAGGTGGTATGGGAATGAATTGTTAAGAGTACTTCTCAGCCTCCCTTCCCCTCAGGTGTTATACTAGGAGGAATGTCAAGCAGCATAGTTCTCTAGCCCCCAATGGTATCTGATTACTTAAAAGCTTTTTAGTGGCTTTCATGTAGCATTTGGGTATTCAATCATTGTATCATGGTGCACCTGTACCATGGCCTAGGCAATCCAAGCTTCTGTGAAAGTCCCTTGACATGCCGAGAAATGTTTTCCATTTAGTTCTTGCTCTCAACTCCAGAAGTTTGGGTTAAGGAAGTAGGGGAAGGTGACCAAAAGTAAGTCATGAAGAATGGGTGTGTGCACTCCTGATGAATGCTTCCCTGCCCCCACAGTAATCCTGAGTACAAGGACACACCGATGGACATTGCACAGCTTCCTCATCTACCCGAGAAAACCTCCGAATCCTCAGAAACCTCTGACTCTGAGTCAGACTCAAAAGACACCTCAGGTATTACAGGTATTACTTCTTCTCCATGTTCTGCAATTATGACTTGCCTTTCCAAACACAAGGGGTAGTCATCATCCATCTTCAAAAGCAAAACAACTGATCACATTTTATATACAGGCAGTCCTGGGGTTCCAAACAAGATGTGTTCCTTGTCTAAAAATTTGGAGGTCGATTGGAACAGCTCCGTATGGTTCTTATTTAGCCTTATTTTATTTTAATAAAGGAGCCCTGGTAGTGCAGTGGATTAAGCATTGAGCTGCCAACTTCTAGGTTGGTGGTTTCAACAAGCCCACCAGCTGCTCTGTGGAAGAAAGATGAGACCGTCTGCTCCTGTAAAGATTTACAGTCTCGGAAACCCCTTTGGAGCAGTTCTACTCTGTCCTGTCGGGTCACTAATGAGTCAGAATTGTCTTGATAGCAGTGGGGGGTTGTTGTAAGAAAAGGCTAGAAGCCTTTTCAATTAGTTAAAAGCTGCTCATGTAGCAAGTGAAGGTGCTTTTGATGAAGAATTGTTGCAAGTAGGGGTTGGTTCAATCATTTCAAAACGAAGGCAAATTTACATAATATTAAAGTAGGGCTTCAGAGATAGCTGCAGCCCCACTCAAAGATGGCAGCCAACCACTGAGTTTTGAATGTGGATCAGTCTTTACAATCCTGACAAGAATCCAAGCTCCTAAAAGGGCTCTTCCAAACCTCCCTTTCCAGGATTTCAACTCATAATTTTTCCTGTTCCAGTTACCATGACTAATCACGCAAATGATAAAAGTTCTGATCTGTTCCTGGTTTTCTTCATTGGTTATGACAGAATCAGTTTGAAAGTCTACATTAACGAGCAAGTGGATTCAACAGTGGACTCCTAACTGCAAAATTGGTGGTTCAAACCCACCAGCTGCTCCTTGGGAGAAAGATGAGGTTTTCTCTTCCTGTATAGACTTACAGTCTCTGAACCCTAAGGAAGCAGTTCTCGCCTATCCTGTAGGGTTGCTGTGAATAAAAATGGACTTGATGACAATGGATTTTAGTTAGGAGTTGTCCATAAATCAGACATTCAGGACTCAGGGAATGCCTACATAGATATATGAGGGTGCTTCAAAAAGTTTGTGGAAAAATTCTAGTATCTTTTCATTTCCATTTTCCACATTCTTTTCGAAACCCCCTCATATATATATCAAGAAGCCTGGTAGTGTAGCGGGTTACGAGTTGGGCTGCTAACTGCAAGGTCGACAGAAATGAGACTTTGTGCTCCTGTAAAGATTTATAGCCTCAGGAATCCTACATAGAGGGTCACTATGAGTCAGCATAGGATTCCTGGTGTGGTGCTGTGGATTAGTGCACCAGACTGCAAAACCGTTTGAACTGCAAGGTTGGCAGTTCGAGCTCTCCAGCTACTCCTTGGAAACCCTATACAGGGTCTCCGTGGGTCGGAACTGACTCGATAGCACTTAATAACAACAATGAGTCAGTACCATCTTGAGGGCATACAACCACCACTACCACCGTACACACATCACATGCCATGGCTGTACCTGCCACAGGATATAGTAGAAACCCTGCTCTACCCAAGTGAGCTCTGGCCTCTCTCCATAGCAGGTATCAAGGCTCGCTCTAATGACTTTGATCTCAAAATATTCATATCCTCACCAAGCCTATGAAACTTTTGAACCTCTAAAGTAAGATAGCTATTGTTGCTTATTTGCTGAATCTATGCAGGAAAAACTATTACTTTCCTAGTTTTAATCCTTTGGGGAAGTAAATTTTCTGAGCAGTTCTTTGGTGCGCAGGAAAGTTCATACATACAGATTGCTTTCTTTTCCTCCAGCCTCTGCCCCACTTCCGCAGACATGCCATATAGCAGGGAATACAGAACTTTTGTCAAATTCTACAGCTGCAGGAAGTCCTAACGCTCTTCTAGCTCAATTTTTTTTTTCAGCTACACAGGAGGAAATGAGGATCAGAGTAGATCTGCCCAAGGTGTTATCCAGCCTGCAGTCCACAAGCATCACAGCGAAGTCAGAAAATCAGTATTGTCCACAATGGGTACTCTGAGGTTTACTGGAAAGATCTTTTCTTCCTAAAATGGAGCAGATGGCTAGGGTTCCCCCCAAGCCACCCCATCATTAGGGCCCCAAATCTCCTGGTTTGTAAGCACACATTCTTCCACTCCAAATACAGCTTCAAAGAGGTGGCAGGAGTAATCCTATATAGAGAGGAACATGACTAGTGAGCTGAGAGTTCTTTACTAGGGCAGAAGTTTTCACATAGATCTCTGTCCCTTATTTGTAACAGCGAACAAAAAAGAAAAACTCTCTGCCCTCAAAGGTGGGGTGAAGGGGAAGGAAAGACAACCGAAAATAATAAGATGTATCTAGCAAAGCAGATGGTAAAAGTTGTTATGGAGAAAAATGTTGTTGTTAAGTCATGTCGAGTTGCTTTGACGCGTAGTAATCCTGTGTAGGGTTTCTGGGGCTTGTAAATCTCTTCCTGAGGATAAAGCCTCATCCTTCTCCTGAAGAACAGCTGGTAGATTGGAACCTCTGAACTTGTTTGCAGTCCAGTGCTTATCCTACAGTCCACTGCTCTCCCACGGAGAAAAATAGAGAGGGAGTGTGGTTTTCAGCCATGAACCAACTCCTCTAGAAGATGCAGACCTCTGTAGGAAGCTACCTTGCATTGCATCAATCACGTTTCTGTAGCATTAATATACTATGACTAACCAAGTATTTTTGTAGGACGTCCCAAACTTTATGAATCATCGGTGATCTTCTTAAAAAGAAAACTGATTCAGTTGCTCTGGGTGGGGCCTAAAATTCTGTTTTCCTAACAAGCGCCTTGGTGATGCTGATGCTTTTGGAATACAGAACATGCTTTTGGGACGATGGAGAATCTACATCTAATCTAGGTCCTCAAGAGAGAAAGCACAGGGTTTAAGTAATCAGAAGGTGATGGAGAGGCTCATGGTTAAGACTAGATACCTTTCTCCACCACCCCTCCCCGTAGTTCTATCCCAGCTAATATGGTGTCTCCTCTCTTCTCCTCTTCCCATCCCTACCCCTGCCTGCTGGCCTCATGCAGAGGACAATGAGAACTCCAAGTCTGACGAAAAGGGAAACCAGTCCGAGAACAGCGAAGACCCAGAGCCGGATCGAAAGAAGTCGGGCAATGCGTGCGACAATGACATGAACTGCAATGAAGATGGCCACAGCTCCAGCAACCCAGACAGCCGCGACAGTGATGACAGCTTTGAGCACTCGGACTTTGAGAACCCCAAGGCAGGCGAAGACGGCTTCAGCGCGCTGGGCCCTATGCAGATCAAAGTGGAGCGCTACGTGGAGAGCGAGTCGGACCTGCGGCTGCAGAACTGCGAGTCGCTCACATCCGACAGCGCCAAGGACTCGGACAGCGCAGGCGAGGCGGGCGCACAGGCCTCCAGTAAGCACCAGAAACGCAAGAAGAGGCGGAAAAGGCAGAAGTGCGGCAGCACCAGCCGCCGCCGCCTGTCCAGCGCCTCGAGTCCCGGGGGCCTGGATGCGGGCCTGGTGGAGCCCCCGCGGCTACTGTCCTCCCCCAACAGTGCCTCCGTGCTAAAGATCAAGACTGAGATCTCGGAACCCATCAACTTCGACAATGACAGCAGCATCTGGAACTACCCACCCAACCGGGAGATCTCCAGGAACGAATCTCCCTACAGCATGACCAAGCCCCCGGCCTCCGAACACTTTCCGTCCCCCCAGGGCAGCGGCGGTGGCGGCAGTGGCGGTGGCAGTGGGTTGCACGTGGCCATCCCCGACTCGGTCCTCACGCCGCCAGGCGCTGATGGCGCAGCAGCCCGCAAGACACAGTTCAGCTCCTCGGCCACCTCGGCCTTGGCCCCTGTCGCCTCTGATCCGTTGTCGCCCCCACTCTCAGCGTCCCCGCGGGACAAACACCCAGGGGGTGGCGGCGGGGGTGGCAGCGGGGGCGGTCCCAGCGCCTCCAACTCCTTGCTGTACACTGGGGACCTAGAGGCACTGCAAAGGTTGCAGGCGGGCAACGTGGTGCTGCCACTGGTTCACAGGGTGACCGGGACCCTGGCCGCCACCAGCACGGCTGCACAAAGAGTCTACACCACAGGCACCATCCGCTATGCACCTGCCGAGGTGACCCTGGCCATGCAGGGCAACCTGCTGCCCAACGCGCATGCTGTTAACTTCGTGGACGTTAACAGCCCCGGCTTTGGCCTTGACCCCAAGACGCCCATGGAGATGCTCTACCACCACGTGCACCGGCTCAACATGTCTGGACCCTTCGGCAGTGCTGTGAGCGCGGCCAGCCTGACGCAGATGCCCGCTGGCAATGTGTTCACCACGGCTGAGGGACTCTTCTCCACGCTGCCCTTCCCAGTCTACAGCAACGGCATCCACGCCGCACAGACTCTGGAGCGCAAGGAAGACTGAGGCGCAGCCCAGCAATGCGCAGGGCTCCACTCGGAGGCATCGTCGGCGTTTTCCTTTAGACCTTTAATTCTAGCACTTTGAATTTGAGCAGGTCAGCATCTTCTCTCAACACGATGGTCACCATTTCCATCCCCCTTTCCTTTAACTTGACTTTTCTTTTGTGTAAAGATATGTTTATTTTCTGCCTTCAGAGGGTCAGATGGCCTGCCATTTTGTCTTCTTCTAAGATGTGTGTTGGGTTGTTTTCCTTTCCTTTGCCATCTTTACCAAGATGTCTTTAATGTGTATATGCCTCTGCCATAGAATACTCAGTCTTGTGGTCGAGAGATTTTTCAAGTGACAAGCATTGGGTTTTCTTCATAAAGATCTTGATATGATCAAGATTGAAAGAGACAAGCATAAATGATGTGCCCTGTTTGACTAAGTCAAATGAAATGGGGTGGTGTTTTGTTTTTGTTCCTAATTCCTTTAAAAAAAAAAAAAACACAAAAAACAAAAAAACTAGGGGATAGTATTTTAGAATTTTATGCAGAATTTAATTCTCTTTTTATGGTTAAGATTTTAAAATTTTCTTACTTGCACATAAAAATAATTTGGGTTCTTAAACTTAATTTCTGGCCTGTGACTAGAATGTTAAAAAAAAAAAAAAAAAGTTGGACTAAATGTTAATTACTGAAACATTAACTTAATTTCTAAAACCATGGTGCTATCATTTATTAATCTGTAATGTCTTCATACAAAATGCAGCTCCTAGGCTGGGTTTTGGGAAAGAATGTGTTCTGTCCTGGTCTGGAGTTCATTGCTGCAGTCTCCTTGGTTAGTTAAGACAAAGCCCTCATTAATGTTTGCTGCAGGACTTAAAAGTTTTTACCTCCCAACTAACAAACATAGCCTCACATTCAATTTAATGGGTCAGTAAAGCCCTTTTTACAGGGGCTCTTGGAAACTCAAACTGATTTGAGGAGTTTAGCTACATATTGCCTTTCGTTGAACTTTTTTTTCCCCTCTGTTTCTCAGTCTAACTGAGGCTAATTTTGCAACTTCAATAACACTTCAGAGTAAAAGAAGGAAAAATGTTTAACATGTTTTGTTTTGTTTTCATTTCTTAACAACAAAAAAATGGAAAGTTGTATTTTGGGAGACTGAATTGATTTGATGGTATGTTTTTCCTTTTGGTTCTCTTATTTCTAAGTTGAAACCAATAAGTTTTAAAAATAAAAAAAATGGGTTAATAAAGTTCAAATAGATAACTGCAACGGAAAACTGCACATTACGTTTAAAAAAAAAAAAAAAAAAAGGAAAAGATAAGACAAGAAAAAGAAAACAATATCCTATTTTGTCTTTGTTGCCAGAAATCAGTGTAGTGTCAAACACTCCAAATGACTGTCAAGTATAAATTCTTCTTCCACTCCATTTTTGGCAGCTGTTTGTTAAGGCATCTAATAACAGATGTTAGAACTGTCATGTGTACAATGTGTAAGTGTCCTTGGCTGTCCATTGCAGTTTCAATGTGTGTTCCTATATGCAGTATATACTAAGCTAATGTAGTTGTTTTGTCCTTTGTCTTCTCTGTGCTCTATCTCTAGTCCGGAGTGGTATAGTCCCATTCCTGCAGTCCTAGTGAATCAGTGATTCTTGGGGGTTAGTGGTTTTTGTGTGGTGGCCTTCCTCTGTAATGTCACCCTATGCTGCTTCTACTGTCTGTGAATCTTCCCGTTTTTACTTTTTAAAATTCCTGCTGTTGCTTTGCTGATGTATATTCTCCCTACCTCTCCTTTCTTTCTTTCCCTCTCTTTCCCTCCTCTCCCCCACCTCTCCCCCACCCCCAATCTTTTTCATTCTCAGAGATAAAAAGACTCTTAACTAGCTCAAGGTTAATGGAGCCATTTTTTCCACAATGGAATTCTGGGTATGACTGTTTTCTGGAGTGCTACACAAAGCACTGAAGAATAATGCTCAGATATATTAAATAAATTGATGCCATATAGCCTCAGTTGTTAACATTCCCAGAGTCCCTTGTGCTCTACCTATAAGCAGTGGGTGCTTTTCTTTGGTTTTCTTCCAGGTTGGCTGATAGAGCAATATATAAAGCAATTACTAGTGAGACAGAAAATTATTTCAAAGGTCAACCAACATTTTTACAAAATAAAAGGGGGGTGGTGGACTATAGAATTGTCATATATATATTTGTTTATGCGTGCAATGCTAAATATAGTAACCTGGCTGTCCTTTGAATATCACTGTGTTGAGGGGATTCCTCTAGGACCTTGGAATTCCATGAGTTGTGCCCAGACCATGATGGAATGATTACAAATGTCACAAATTTGAAAGGTGTGCTTTCTTGAAGGATTTAAGTAGGTTTCAAAGATGAAGAGGACTGATGGAGAAATTTAAAGATTAATTTTGGAAGCTCTACTCTAGCTATCGAACAATCAAAGGAATGCACCTATCAGCTCCTAAGAACAGCTAGACAGCTGTTTTGTTTTGTTTTGTTTCGTTTCTTTTATAAATGTTTCTGTGTTGTGTCAGAATGATTTCTGGTGATTTGAACTAACAGATAATCACAGCTGCTGTCTAAATCCATAGTGTTTAAAATTACAAAATGAAAAAAAAAAAAAAAAAAAACACCATTACCTGTGAAAACTGTGTCTGTGTTTTTAACTATTTCTTGTATAAATATATGAAAACTTTTATGAGGAGACTGGTGCCAAGTAGCTGAATAATGGGGAAAGGGATATTCTGTTCGTAAAAATCTTAGCAGTGTTACCAACTCTACAACATATAAAAACAATTAAAATGTTACAAAGCGACAGCTATGGTACATTTGTTTTGTGTGAAGCTAACCGGACCTAACTTCCTGAGTGCCTGGCTTATTTTGAAACATTTCTTTTCATTGACCATTGATAATGCTGCAAATCAGAAATGTACATACTTCATTTACAACAGGGTTCTTTTTATACTTTTGTAGATTCTCATACATGTCACATACATGGTTGTCTTTATGTAACTTAATTTTTCATCCGCAGGTGCCATTTTCATAATAAACTTCTCTTGGATTTGTTACTATCTGGCATCATTTCTTTTACATATAACCATCCTAACTAATGAATGCTGGTAGTATTTGTTTAAGCAGGTACCTTGGTCATTATCCTTTATTGAGAAAAAAAAAAAGTTTGAAAAAAAAAATCCATATATTTTTGCCAGTTTAAAAAAAATAGCTTGTGTACTGATGAGGCTGACAAGCAAAGAGTAAGATGCTAATCCAAATACTACACCAAATTTGCAACCATCCTAAATTTTCAGCTACCCCAACTCATTATCATATTAAGCATTATTATGCACATTATCAAAGCTGAACAATGGGCCTGCAACATTAACCACTATGGAAAGTGTGCATCTTTTCTTGACTAATGCACAATACATGAAGATAGTTTTCATACATTAATCGTTTAAAATGCACTCAATATTATCATTTATTGTAATCTACAATGTAACTATTCCATGTTTATATCTTCTCTTTATACTAAATAATGTATTTTCTTTCTCCAGACAAGTTGAGTAAGTCCTGGTTGTGCTGTGTTGTTGATAGGTCAGCTTGCTAACCACAAAGAGAGAAAGTTTCAGTGTTTCAGTGGTCATCTCAAAGTTAAGGATACAGGTAGGTTTCTATTAAGTCGGTGGTCTCTAGAGAGTAAAGAGATATGAACGGTTCAAGCTGATAGAAAGGCAAACACTTTTGTCCAACAATCAGTAATAAGTATCTCCCCAGTTTGTCTTTTGGAGTCCTGGTGTGGCGCTGTGGACTATTGCGTCAGACTGCAAAGCCATTTGAACAGCAAGGTCGGTGGTTCAAGCTCACCAGCTGCTCCTTGGAAACCCCATACAGGGTTGCTATAAGTCGGAACCGACTCAACGGCACTTGACAACAACAAATTTGTCTTTAGAGACATTTACCAATTTGGGGAGGCAATTTTTATTAATGGAGGGTGGCTTCATAATGGAGGATGTAGAAATGTGGTTGAAGTTTGTGGGGCCCTAGTTTTTCTAGGTCTCATATACATCCTTGAAACAAGTACCTAAAATTCAAAAGTAGGAAACGGGTAATTGAGACTACAAAACTGGACTTTTCGAAAATGTGTATTTTCCTTTTGTTCTGCAGAGCAGGATATAGTATAGCAAGATTGAGAAGTCAAGAAATTGGTGAAGCTAGAAATTCAATCCTGAACAGATGATAGTGAATGATGAAGCTAAGTTTCCCAAGGCATTCCGTCTGCCAGGCATTGATAGAGCTGGCAGCTAGTGATGGTTTTCAGAGTTTTCAGTGGGGGAGGGCCCACTAAGGCAGAGGAGTGACTGTGTGACTGAACTTCCGACTGAGGCTCTGCCTTCTGGATGCCACTGCTGGTCTATCCTGACACTTTAGTTCTGTGCATCACTTCAGCCCTCTAATCTCAGCCCTCCTACAAGTAAAAGGGGAAACCTGGCATGGTGACAGGTGAGCTGAAGGCCTCATGATATCTGGAGCTTGTGTAGAGGGAGTGGTGGAAATCCTGGATTCTGACCCAAACACAGGATTCCCTTTGCATCCAATTCCCAGCCTTTTATTTGTACTCTTCAATGCTAAAATCTGTCACTGTTGAAGTAAATAACATTTCTCTCTCAGCCAGGAAGACAAAGAAGTCTGAGTGCAGACTCACTGACAGGAAACCCTACCACACCCCCACCCTCAGGGCTGGCAGCCAAGTCAGAGCCCAGAGCCCTGAGCTCCCGGAGGTCAGGGCCTCTCCTGTGCCAGGCTGGCAGCAGCTGAACTTGTCAACGATCCAGTTTGCAGGTGATGAACAAAACGAGCCAATGACCCAGTTCTCTGTGCCGCCACCCTTCTCCCTCCCAGCTGGTACCAATACTTGTTTATTTGGCAGTGAGGAATAAGAAATAAAGAATTTTGAATTAAAATCAGAAGGCAGGACAAGCATTTGAGCATGACGAACCTGGTTTCAGTCTTTGTGGACTGTAGTTCTTACCCACTCTCCCTTGTTCCTAGAAAGTCTGCTTCCACTGAATATGTCTGAGACCATTTGAAATCAACTTGGCCTATGTACCGCATCTGAGGGAAGGAAGAGATAATGTACATCATCAGTTTCAGAAGACAGTCTGTTCAA